GTGTGTTTCTGGCTATGTACCACTTCTGTGCTTGGGAACCTGTAGTGTAGTTAAGGAGATGGTTTACCTTCCATTGTTTATTGATCCTCATGGGGAATTTTTTAAGGAAGAGGAAGTTGACTGGGTTAAGACTCAATGAGGCCATTTAATACTCACAGAGTTATCTTCTCCAGGAGGTCTAAAAGTGACTGAATAGGAGTGAATAAATCTTTTACTGAAAGCTTTGGCCTGAAGCCATTCTATACACAAGACTCCAGTCAGAGAACTTAACCAAGGAAGGTTCAGCAGTAGGTCAGTCGTTAATTAGCTGTGCTTGTGGGTACGAGGTAATCTATAAAGGTTAGGCTGCTAGAAACAAGGCCTACATCTTATCTCGGCATCTTTGGATTTGGCAATCCCTTAATAGTCTTCTTAAAGAAAATAATTGAACTGGCAACTTCGAGGCTTAGTTACCTGTAACTACATATGTGCATAAAACCAACACACATAAGTTAATATGGCCATTTACACTTCAGTAGAATGGTTTTGAATATAGTAAGAAAAAAAAATTCACTTACTTTTCTATTTAAAAAGAAACAACAACAAAAAACCTACCACCTTTAAAACTTACAGAGGTTAGTAACCAGAAAAATCACAGAAAGAAAACCCATATACTAATTAGGGTTAGGATTAGAGTTGTTGTGAATTGCTGTCAAGTCTGTTTCGACCCATAGTGACTCTGTATAAGGTTTCCGAGGAGTAGCTCAGGGGTTTGAACCATGGACCTTGGGGTTTGCAGTCCAGTGCTGATCCTACGGCACCACACCGGGAGTCCAGGGTTAGGGTTGGCAATCGCCCCTGTGTGCCTTTTTCTTACGTACATTTATCACAGTGGGATTTTTCAGTATGGGGATTTTCCAGGTTGTTTGTGTCCTAGAATCAAGACAGTCTGCTCTCATGAATATCTACAGTCTTGGACACCCTATATAGGGTCTCTATGAGTTGGAATTGACTCGATGGCAGTGGATTTGAGTGGGTACTGTTGATAAAAGAAACCGTGGTGGCACAGTGGTTAAATGCTGCTTCTGTAAAGAATGCAGCTCTGGAAACCCTATGGGGCAATTCTACTCTGTATTGTAGGGTCACTAGGAGTTGAAATGGACTCTAAGGTCATGAGGCAATTCATAAAGGATCTCTGGGTGATACAAGCCATTAAGTACTGGACTGTTAACCAGAAGGTTTACAGTTCAAGTCCACACAGAGACACCTCAGAAGTAAGTACTGGCAATGGACTTTTGAAAAATCAGCCATTGAAAATCCTACTCTGACATACATGGCATCTCTATGAATTAGAATAAACTTCATGGCAACTAGTTACCACTGATGAGTGTTGACTTCAGAGAACTCAGTGGTGAAAAATTCAGGTAACTTGACTCCAGGGCTTTCAGGTCTTTTTCTAAAAATGTCAGCCTCAGGAGGGGAAGAGGACTGCATACATGGGATTCACTTCTGGAAGGGGAAGGAAGTGCAGTATTCCTAGACATTATTTTGAAATAAAACCAGGACATTCCAATCAAAACCAGAAACATAAAGTTCTCTCACAACTCTTGGTGGCATCACCATTTTAGGCCAAGATGCTACTGTGATATAAAACCCAGCCGGGCTTTCTTTACTGGATCTTAGGGAATGCTTTCGTTTTCTGTTAACTCTCTATGAGAGAGTAACCCTTAACATGCTGTTTCATACTAATTTCACAACATCTCTGGTTGAGTCACCATAGATACAACTGTGCCCCTCTTCTTGGCAGATGGCTTTTGCCAGCAAAATGCCTAAATGGCAGTTGCTACAAAAACAATACAAATGTGGGCAAAAAAAAATAATAAACAAAAAGCTTGGCTTTGATAAATCTCCTAAGACTTTCATATAGGGAAAGACCTTACCACATAAAACTATCTAATGATTGCCACTAAGTCAAAACATCAGGGATTATAGATTTTAAAGCTGGAAAGGACATTAGCCATCCTCAAATGCCTTTGCTGCTTATGATTGAGAATACCGTGCAAAGAGAAGAGGCTCTGGGTCACACAGCATCATGAGAGTGTCTGGAGTTCAAGGCCAGGCCCTTGTCTCCTGGGTTTGTGCTTTTCTGATTCTCGTTCCTCTTTGTGACAAATATTGAAACTTTTTTCCTGATACTGAAAAAAGTCATTGCTTAGGACCCTCCTAAGGGGTACAAATGTGCTCTAATACTAAAAGTGTTGCAATTCAAGTTCACCCAGGGGTGCCTCGGAAGAAAGACTTGACAATCTAGTATCAAAAACTCAGCCATGGAAAATACTGTGAAGCACAGTTCTCCTCTGACACACATGAGGTCACCGTGAGTCAGAATTAACTGAAACTGGTTTGGTTTGGTTTTTGGTTTACCATTGACTGAAAAGTAGGTCCCATTTACTAAGGGGCTATTAGATGTCTTCTTCTCTCTCTTCTTAAAAATTCTATGAAATAAGTAATCATTAAACCGATTTTACAAATGAGAAAATCAGTGCTTACAGAGTTTAAGGATGCATGCACGGTCACACCATGACTGAATCAGAATCCAAATTCAGGAAATACAGACCTGGTCCCTTTTTCTCCTATGTTACACTGCCTCTCTTTGTGTGATATATTTTCTCTGTCTCTGTAGCATTGCAATCTGAATAGACAGTCTCTTAGAAGTTAGGATGAGCAGCAGTAGACCCTGTGTCTAAAAGAAAAAGTCTTTAGAGAAATTATCTAGAACACTATTCAGTTTGGTGTAATAATGCAGCTTTAAAGTTCATTAAAACTTTTCCCCAGTTGTAATCATTCTATAGATCCTGACCTAGAAAGATGTCCATATTAAATTAGGTGCAGAAAGCAAATGGTGGAGCAGTGAATTTGGTGCACCCCATTATGTTTTGTCTGACACACGCATGTAACTGTGCATCCAGGCAGACCTCATTTTATTGCTCCTGGCTTTATTTCACCTTACATATATGCATTTTTTACAGATTTGAAGGTGCGTGGTAACCCTGCCTTAGGCAAGTCTATCGGCACCATTTCTCTAACAGGATACACTCACTTTATATTTGTGTATCACATTTTGATAATTATCACCAATATGTCAAAAGTGTTCATAATGCTATTGCCCACCTAATAGATGACAGTGTCATGTAAGCGTTCCTTTTATATGGACTGGGAAGCCAAAAAAAAATTATGTTATGAGAAACAAATTCTCAAGATGCTCCATCGTCAGGAATAAGGGGGGTCCAGGAATTGTCAGGAGGGACCAGTCACTGGAGAAGGATATCATGTTGGGTAAGGTGGAGGGTCAGAGAAAAAGAGGAAGACCACCAGCGCGATGGATTGGCCAAGTGACAGCATCGATGGGCTCAAGTGTGGCAACAATAGTGAGGTTGGCCCAGGACCGGGCAGTGTTTCGTTCTGTTGTACATAGGGTCGCTGTGAGTCAGTACTGACTCAATGGCACCTAACAACAACAACAACAACAGGAAATTGCTAGACCAGACATAGATTGTTGATTAACACAGCAACAGTGGCCTATGCATCTGGGGTATGTGAGTGGGATGAATTGGGGGAGGGGGATTAAACCTGTTCAATGACTAAGAACTTGAAATAAGAATGCTACTATCAAGGGAAAGTAGGCGATGTCGGGGAAAGATTGTTAATTCCATAGTACTCAGTCAATGCTATGGGAATAAAATGTTTTGCAAAACGACCACACAGCACATCTGACCCTATCTACTGGGTTTGGCACCCGGTTTTGCAAAATCAAATAAAAAAGCTTCACTCTTGCTAAACTGAGTACAGACTGGATTTCTTTTGAATGGTTGTCAGTAACTACTTGTGATAACTCATTAGTAACCTCATAACCAAGCAGGACCGAGGCAGTATCCGGGGGACTGACAAAATGTTTCTCACAGTGTAACTCACTTTATTCTGATACTCACCTTACTATAAGGAGCTCTGGTAGTGTAGCGGTTACAAATCGGGCTGCAAACCTCAAGGTTAGTGGTTCGAAACTACCAGCTGCTCTGCGGGAGAAAGATGAGGCTTTCTACTCCCATAAAGATTTACACCCTCGGAAATCCTGTACAGGGTCACTATGGGTCGGAACTGACTCAACGGCACTTAACAACAACACCTTACTATTATGGTCTAGAACTGAACCCACAATATTGCAAATGTATGCATATAAATATGCATATAAAGAGAGAGAGAAATTCCGAAAACACATACACCAAACTCTTTGCAAAGGTTCATAGGGAGGAGTAAGATTGGGGACCAGAAGATTAAGAGACAAAAATCTTGTTTATGTATCATTTAAATTTTTCATAGTAAATGTATATTATAAGACAATTTTTTAAAGAAAAATATATGAATTAAAACTTTCTTCTTAACTCCTTTAGGACAATTTTGCTATTTTTGTAACTAAAAATGTTAACCACAAAATTGCTACTCCTGCTTTGGGTTAGCTAAAAGACAATCAATCATATGAAAAGGATCCTTTTTTCTTGTCATGAAAAATGTGTAATATCCCAGAGCAGTGTCAGCAAATTTGCTGATGCTTAGTTATGAATTATCATTCTCCTCCAAGAGACCCCACATGAATGTGATTTGTAGTTTATGGCATACTGTAAAGTCACCAGATTAAATTATGAGCCTTTGCTCCTCCACCATCTCCTCCCATTTTGTGTTCATCCTCAGATGACTGCTTTCTTCTTATGATTCCTGTCATCCAATTTCACAATGTCTTTGCACACTTGGCACGTTTTCAGCAATAACCTATTTGTTTCTAGGCATCAACTAGATTTTATCTCTAGGAATCAGCTTTCGTGTTGTTTTTGTTATTGCTTCGTAAAGCTGTCATTGGAAGCTTAGTTGAAGATTAACACTTGGAACTACTTTCATTTTACTACTCTTCTTTCTACTCTGTCAGTGAATATGTTAGTTTTTCCATGTTAATAAGTGTCTTTCTCTAGGTGAACGTGACTGAGAAGCCACTAAGAAAGCCACCTGCCAGACTGAAAAAACTTAAGATCAAAAGGGAAATGAAGGATTTAACCAGGAAGGACATAGAAGAGAAGCTGCAGGCAGCAGAGGAGCGCCGGAAGGTACTCTGGTTTGCCCGTGTGCTCAGGCTGAGGGGAGCATTTGCTACTTCCTAAGATAAGCCACATCAGCAGATATAGGACAAATTGCATGCATTTATAGTAAATACTTTAACCTAACAGTTGGGTCAAACCCTATACAGGATTCTATGAGTCAGTGGCATAGTGGTTAAGACTTGAGCTGTTAACGTCAAGGTCAGCATTTAGAAACTACCATCTGTTCCGCAAGAGAAAGATGAGGCTTTCTGCTCCTGTAAAGATTTATAGTCTTGGAAACCCTATGCAGGATTGCTACAAATTGGAACCAGCTCCATGGCATTTACAAACTTATATTTTCATGGGGAACAATTTAATCTACAATAGTGGCTGTCCACAGTTGTTTGGTACATGAACCCTGGACATTTAACCCACTGCCAACCAATCCTACAGGACAAAGTAAGAAGAGACCTGCTTCTTAGGGTTTTAACCAATGATATTAAAGTCAGCAGGCCAGTGCTTATCCTACAGCATTATTAGGGCCCCTATCCTTCTGGACAGTTAGTTAGGAAAACATTGACCCAGGAGGGTTAGACCCTGATAAGGGGAATCGTTAGAGAATGGAAATGGACCTCAAAATTAGGTCAAGACAGTATTTAAAAACAAAAAACGGCATTTCCCCCCAAAGTTAAGTGACATGTGGAGATGGAAACCTGGATGTGGGGGCAGTGGTGTCCGGCACTCCTATAACCTGTGCACACGGGTCCCATGATTCCATCAGCCTGCTTGTCAGGATTCAGCCTTCACAGCTGTGAGCTGACAGCCACCAAGTCCTTCCTCTCTATTTTGTCAGTCAGAGAGGAAAGACTGGACTTCAGGCTCCATGAGGGTACAGACTGCGTCTGTCTTCTTCAACACATGCTTGTGAAATAAATGAACTATAAGACCGAGAGGAGCCATAAATACTGTTACTGTTGTCTACTGCTGTGGAGTCAGCTCCAGTTCATGAAGACCCTGTATAGGATTTCCAAGGAGTGACGGGTGGGTTTGAACCGTAGATCTTGCAGTTTACAGTCTAGTGCCACACCCAGACTCTCTCCATAAATGTTATTTAGTAGGAAGATCTGTGGAAACTTATACAGAATTCTTGAGGTTGTCTTTTGTTCTTTTTATACTGGGTTTCAGACTAAAGAAGAAGAAATACGGAAAAGACTACAAAGTGATCGACTTTTTCCTGCCAACCATCGTTTGGACTTAGCAAGATTGGCTGAGGCTGAGCTTCCATTTGCCAAAGGACTTGAAACTGTGAGCTCGGCTGTGATTGAACCATCGGACCTGCAAGAAGGGGAGCAGCTAAAAAGGAAGAAGAGCAAAAGTGAAACCACGTCAAGAGATTTAAACTACAGTTATGAAGGTATTGGGTTCATAGAATCAGACATGTCCTACAATCAAAAAGATGACATATTCGAATAAGTCATTTTATGTGAATTTAGTAAAAAGAAAAGAAAAAAACCCCTACTCTCTCCTGTTGTGATATTTTTCTTTTTGTATGCTTCATGTTTTCTCTGACTGGACTCATTCCATTGGAAATTCTGGTTTGGGGTTAGCAATGAATAACATGAGCCTGAGGTAAAGCTGGGTAAATGACATGGTTGTGTTATCTGAAAAAGACAAGGCCAGCTTAGATATTGTAAGATTGGCATTCTCTTTCAGTGTGGCCTCAAGCATTGTGGGAAAATATCTTTAATTTTATGAGCTCTTTCCCGTCAGCATTAATGTCTTTGTGCCAGATGAAATTCTTCTTTTGGTTCCCCCTCCTTGGTGTTGTCTGCTGTCTGCTGGTCTTTACACAGGTCCGATTATCCAGAGTTCAGCTTCCCTACTGACGCTCTGAGTGGAAGAGTTTACTGGTCCTTTGCTTCAGTGGTTGTTGTTAAACACTGTTGAGTCAGTTCTGACTCATAGCGACCCTGTATAGGGTTTCTAAGGAGCGGCTGTTAGTCTGAACCACCAACCTTGTGGCTCAAACTGACCTTGTGGCCCAGTGCTTTATCCTACAGTGCCACGCTAATTTTCATGCAGGAGACCAAAGTTTGATTCCTGGCTATTGCACTTGGTACACAGTGCCAGTGGAAATGTGCATGCTGCTCTGATGTTGAGTAGGATTTGATAGAGCTTCCAGACAAGATGGACTAAGAAAAAAGGTCTGGTGATCTGCATCCAAAGATTGCCAATGAAAACCCTTTAGATCACAGTGGTCTGATTCCCAACTGATCATGGGGACGGCACAGCACTGAGAAGTATTATGTTCTGTTGTGCATGGGGTCCCCATGAGTAGGGCCAACTAAAGGGCAACTAACAATGTTTCTTTGGAATTATATCTTGACTCGTCCCTCCCCCTTATCATCCATCAATGGTGAGGTCTTTAGGAGTCTACATTATAAACCTCTCTCATTCACTCTGTGTTCTTTCCCTGTCCCTACTCAGTTTAGACCACGTCACCACCGTACTTCTGGATTACAATTTTTGTAAATTAAGTACTGTCAAGTCGGTTTCAACTCATAGTGACCCTGTATAGGGTTTCCAAAGAGCAGCTGACAGGTTAGAACTGCAGAACCAACCTTGTGGTTAGCAATCCAGTGCTTATTTTATAGAGCCACACCAGGATTACTAGTTGTAATAGAATTACTGGAGTCTTCTTAATCTCCTTATAGCAGTCGTCTGCTTAAACCTTTCATTGGCTCTTTGTGGTCTCAGGGAGGAGCCCTGGTGACACTGTGGGTTAGGCATTGGGCTTCTAACTGCAAGGTTGGTGGTTCAAACCTACCAGCCCCTTCAAGGGAGAAAGATGACCCAGTCTGCTCTTGTAAAGATTTATGACGTCAGAAACCCTGTTTTGACTATGAGTCTAAATAGATTCAGTGGCAGGGGTTATTTGGGTTTTGGTCTCAGGATAAAGTCCTGACTAATAATTATGTGACTGACAACTCACAGTTACTGATCTTCAGTTCCTCACACTTGGCACACTCTCTCTAGCCTCTGGGCCTTTGTACATATTATTCCTTCCCTTTCCTCTCCCCTTTATGCTATTTCACTTGATCAGTGTCTTCTGTGTTCTCCTGTCTCTACTCAGACACCATCTCCTCTGTGTGAGAAATGTTGCCAATACCCAGAAACACTCAAGAAATCCAATCTGTACTCATTTTAGTGAGAGTGAGATTTTCTTTACTTGATTTCGCAAAACCGGGCGCCCAACCCAGTAGACAAGGGCAGACGCACAGCATGGCGGGCTCGCAAAGAGTTTTATTCCCATTTTCCCTCCCCGCAGTTTCACAGTCTAGCCCAAATAGCATCCATGGTCTTGATGACTATATTCTTATTTAAAATTCTTAGTCCTAAAACAGATTTCTTCTCCTGCCCCCACCCCCATTGATCCTGCTCACATAACCCGGGTGTGATTCAACAGCCTAATGTCTGCTCTAGCAATCTCGTGTGCCCTTTATTCCTGAAGATGGACCATCTTGAGAATTTCTCACATCTGGGAAGTCCTTCTGGAGCCCTTTGTCTGGGTCAGGGCCCCCCTCTCCTGGTTACCCTATGGGGCCCTGAGCTGTTCATCTTTGCACTTCTTACCCTATGTAGGAACTGCCTGGGACATCATCTTCTTCCCTACTAGGAGGTATTTCTAATTTCAGCAGGACAAAGGGCTGGGTGTATCTTGATCATGGTATTTTGATCATTTTTGTTCATTGGATAAGTACTTGGCATATTGTTAAGTGTTGTGTAAGTTTTTTTGAATTTTTTTGAATGAATTGATATACTTGTATATCCTCCAGAAGCAGGAAATCCCAGGAGATGGCTTCTTTTCTCAAAACTAATGGCTGGCTGTGATAGGGTAATATCACATACACCAAACGGAGTCCCGGTGTGGTGCTGTGGGTTAATATGTTGGACTGCAAAGTCATTTGAACCTGCAAGGTCTCGGTGGTTCAAGCTCACCAACTGCTCCTCCGAAACCCTATACAGGGTTGTTGTGGGTTGGAACTGACTCAATAGCACTTAACAACAACAAGAAAGACCAACTAATAGCACTCATTCAAATTTACGCACCTACCACTAAAGCCAGTGATATGAAATTGAAGAATTCTACCAACTTCTTCTGTCTGAAATCATCAAAAATGCAATTAAGATGTATTGCTAATTACTGGTGATTGGAATGTAAATGCTAGAGACAAAGAAGAATGGTCAGTAGTAGTAGGAAAATATGGCCTTGGTGATAGAAATGATGCTGGAGATCAGCATGCTAGAATTTTACAGTACAAATGTATTTGTTGTTACTGTTATGTACCATCAAGTCGGTTCCAACCCATAGTGACCCTGCACAGGGTTTCCAAGGAGTGGCTGGTGAGCTTGAACCGCTGACCCTGTGGTTCAAATGACTTTGCAGTTCAGCACATTAACCCTCAGTGATAGTAATTGCAAATTAAATCTCCAAATTTGATAAATAAAGAATTGCCATTTCTTTTTGAAATCTCGTGCTATTGTGTGTTGTTTATAGTCGCTTGGAGGGTATGTTCATTGAATTAAAATATTTACAGTCTAGATCAAAACCAAACCCATTGTCACTGAGTTAATTACACCTCCTAGGGTCCCAGGAGCTTAGAATAGAACTGCCCATAGAGTTTCCAAGGCTGCGGTCTTTACAGCAGCAGACTGTCACATCTTTCGACTGCTGAGTGGCTGGTGGGTTCCAACCAGCAGTCTCTTGGTTCAAGCACTTTAACCACTGTGCCACCAGGGCTCATTATGGACAGTATAAATCAGAACATTATCTATAATACCCTGGCTTAGAAATGTCTCTACATATTTAGAGTCAAACATGTAAGAGTTTAACACATGTTAAATTAAAATCTGTTTATCTGCTTAGTGGTGCTGTGGGCTAATGCGTCAGACTGCAAAGTCGTTTGAACTGCAAGGTCGGTGGTTCAAGCTCACCAGTTGCTCCTTGGAAACCCTATACAGGGTCGCTATGAGTCGGGAATGGATTCAATGGCACTTCATAATAACAACAACCATCAACATAAATGGAGTGGAAAGAAAGATGATTAAAATTTAGAGTACCTGATTCCAGGAACTGTTCTAAAGTTATAAGAATATTAAGAACCAGTTACCATGGAGTTGCCTTTGACTCATGGTGATCCCATTTGTGTCAGAGTACAGCTGGGCTCCCTAAGATTTCCAATGGCTGCTTTTTCTGAGTTTAGCATTAGATTGCCAGACTTTTCTTTCAAATTGCCTCTGGATAGACTTGAACCTCTGACCTTTTGATTAACCATTTGTAATACCCATGGAATCTCTAAGTATATTCCTGTTCACAAAAACCATCTGAAGATTTAGGGTGAGTACTTTCGTTCTGTAGGATAAGCACTAGACTATTATGTTGTTGTTAGGTGTCATCGAGTCGGTACCGACTCATAATGACCCTATGTGCAACAGAACGAAACACTGCCCGGTCCTGGGCCAACCTCACAATTGTTGCCACGCTTGAGCCCATCGATGCTGCCACTTTGCCAAACCATCTTGCTGGGGTCTTCCTCTTTTTCTCCGACCCTCCACCTTAAAGCACTGGACTACTAACCACAATTTCGGCGGATCGAGCCCATCAGCCAATCCTCAAGATGTTTTCTACTTCCATAAAGATTTATAGCTTTGTAAGCCCTAATCAGGGTCGCTAGGAGTTCAAACTGACACGACAGCATTAAACAACAACAATAAAAACCATCTGAGGGTTTAGGAATGAGAAACTGCAGACTCAGAGATTCTAAACTGCTTCCCCATAGTCCCAGTGCCAATAGCACCAGTGAGAACAAAGTTTGCTTTTAAATCCTGCTCTGTGTCCAAAGCGTTTCTATCCCATTCTGCAATCTTTTTGGTTTTGAAACTTCAGATGTAAATGTGGCTTTTTTGCCACCATCACCATTTTCTTGTTTGTTTTTTCTTTCTTTTTTAAAGGATTATTTTACACTGTAGGATAATTAAAAAGAAGACTAAGATTTCTAAAATATACCGTCTGGGATAATGTTAGTTTTATATATTGAAATAGCATAAGGGGTTTTACTCACTCTTAAAGTTTGAACAGCAGCTATGGTATTTCAACTGAAATGAAAGAGCAACCTTCAGGAAGTTATGAACTGCGGGGAAACGAGCTTCAGGAAACATCTTTGAAATCATCTTGCTGCTGTTAGGTGCATTGAGTCAGTTCTGCCTCATAACAATATAATGAAACTCTACCCAGTCCTGCGCCATCTTCCCAGTTGTTGCCACGTTTGAGCCCATTGCTGCTGCCACTGTGTCACTCCATCTATTTGAGGGTATTTTTCTTGCTGATCCTCTACTTCACCAAACATGATGTCCTTCCTTTTCCAGGGTTTGGTCCTTTCTTATAACATTCTTTTTAGGTGTGGTGCTGCAGG